AATCTCCCCTCTTCCAGTTTTAATCCATCCCCCCTTGTCCTCTCCCTCCCTGCCCTTGTCCCAAGCCCCTCCCCAGCTTTCCTGGAGCCCCTTCAGGCACTGGAAGCTGCTCTAAGGTCTCCCTGGAGCCTTCTCTTCTCCAGGCTGAACACCCCAACTCTCCCAGCCTGTCCCAGAGCTGCTCCAGCCCTGGGATCATCTCTGTGGCCTCCTCTGGACTTGCTCCAACTGTTCCATGTCCTTCCTGTACTGGGGACCCCAGAAGTGGACCCAGCCCTGCAGGGGGTCTCACCAGAGTGGATCAGAGGAGAATCCCCCCCTGGCCCTGCTGGTCACGCTGCTGGGGATGCAGCCCAGGGCAGGGTTGGGTTCTGGGCTCCGGGGCACATTGACAGCTCCTGCTGAGCTTCTCATCACCCAGCACCCCCAGGTCCTTCTCCTCAGGGCTCTTCTCAATTCATTTTCCACCCAGTCTGTAATTGTGCCTGGGATTGTCCTGACCTGGGCAGGACCTTGCACTTGGCCTTGTTGAACTCCAGGAAGCTGGCACAGGGTTGCCTTCCCCACTCCGTGCTGACACGGTGCTGCACCCTCAGGAGGGGCTGGGACAGGGACTGGCTTGAGGGTCACCTCCAGCATGGTGGTCTTCATGTGGCAACACTGGAGACCAGCTGGAGACCATTGACCAATGTCCCTTTCCAAAAATCAGTGTTTTCCTGGAACCTCCCTCAAGTTCCCAGGGTTTTGAGCCACCCTTTCCAGCACCTTTCTCCTGCTGGTAGCACTCAGAAGGAGCAGAATGGGCCACATCCCAAAACTGCACCACGAGTGGATCTTACCAGAAACCCAGACTGGCTCCATAACACAATCCACAGCTGCAGCAGGATTCTTCTGCTCAAGACATGATCGTGGGCAGAGCCCTGGGCAACGTGGAGATGGAAACACAGCCCCAAGGCCCTGTGCCATCCCTTAGAGGAGTCCAAGTTATTTAACTATTATTTATTTAATAATTATTTCCTTTGGAGGTCATTGCAGGGCTTATTTAAACCTCCTCTCTCAGCTGGGGGAGATAAGGTGAGGACTATTCTGGCTACAGTCAAAATTAG